TTTTAGGTGAAAAACAAAATATTAGCATAGCTAACTAGAATTATTAGTATACATTTTTTAAATAAATATATTTAATACATTATTTTGCATTGGACTACGATTTGGAATACAATTTTTGCAATGATAACTTAAGATGCAGTAGTTAAATTGTAAGAATAAGTTCATAGGTATCTAACTTACATAACTTAAATTCATATTTCAATACAATTAAATTGATTTATTCTGAACATTAAATTTCTTAAAACATTTTTGAAATTTATTATATTAGAATTTTTTTGAACTCCTCAAAAACACAACTATTGATGATTATTTTTTAACCTTTGCATTTAATTAATTGTATTAATGTTTATAACCAAATAACCAATAATCGACATTATGCAATTGCAGTAAATTCAATATTGATCTCAACTGGAAAATGTGGGTGCTAATAACAAAAAATATATAAGTTGAATTTGTTACATTAAATATAAAATGCATAATGTATACTATCTTATAAATCCTACCAAAATTTAGATGATTTATGTCAGGAAATCTTTAATAATAATAAAAAAAATAAAGAAACAAACCCTACCTTGATTAGGCCTTATCTAGTTTGTTGTATCAAACCATGATTATTTGTAAGAAAGAAAATCACTAAGTTTTAGAATTTTATTGAAATATGTTACATTTCAATAGAAAAAAGATACGAAGTTAATTAAATGCCTAACCCAAAACCGATTTGTTTATTGGTATCTCCTTACAGTATATAAGTATAACTGGACAATAATAAATAAAATAAAATAGTTTATCCATGATCTGAGCTAGTATGTGAGTATATACAAGTACATAAGTTAGATTTCAAGTTGATTTTTATACAAAAAGTAATATTAAATTTGTTATTGTTTCATTAAAAAAGCATTATTTGCGTTGTATAAATACCTATGTTATATTGTACATATGTGTTTTTTATTTTAATTATAAAATCACGCAAAATGTTCGATAATCATACAAACTGACAGTTTGATTAAAGAAACTACTCATTACGACGAATTACTGGATATATATAAATATAAAATATATTTATAAAATTTAATTTTGTTTACTTATAAACCAATCACATAATTTCAAAACTGCTACCAAACTGTAATTTATGGCCACCACCAAATATAATACACAGCATGTCATAGTAAATTATATCAAAGAACGGTCACGAACATTCTGTGATATAATACGTAATTATTATTTTTCGCTAGACACAAGATATTTATTTCGCAACAATATACCTAAAAATAATTGTGTTTTTTTTTTTCATATTACTAACGTGAAATCAGCTATAGGTACCTATACAAATAAAACTAACAGGGAAGAACACTCGCAGGTAATGGTAATGTTGAAGTCGAGCACGGTTTCATGTTAATTATAATTTATATAATTTATATAATTATACATAATATAAATAATAATAAATAATTACGGATGTTGTTTACGAAAATTATTATTATTCCCATTTCATAATGGATGTATTAATATAATATAGTACTAGAATTATTTATGTGTATAGATAAGGAAGCTATTCAAAAATAAATAAAAGTATTAACGTTGTAATATACTCCTATATAAATATAAATACATATATCGTATAAATTATATTATTATTGTATACGTTATGGTTAATCGATTTACGTACTTTTTTAAGGTCGTCGAGTGCAGTGTGATATTCGTTTTCTAACAGCTGCAACCTGTTGATGGCGAAGCATTCTGACTTTAGTTTGAGTCTACTGTCGGGTCTCATGTCTGCGCTGGACGAACGTTCCGGGACTTTTGACGGAGGCGCCGTTCACTTATGTTTCGCGAGATTCGTTGGATGTATGTAAACCGCGATAAACTGTATAGTGTATACCTATGATGYAGGACCCGCGTGCGTGCATTCATTACAATATTTATATAAACATTATATATACATATTATATAATTTACGTATATATATACAGTATACACACACATGATGACAGGGTGTAACAGGAACAGCTGACAAATTAAATAACTTTTGTTATAATCGACATTTTAAATCTGTTTGTTCTTAAAAAAGTATTGACTTGTGTGATACACGTATAATATAACATTTTTATTTTTATTTTTTAATACTGAAAATAAAAATTTCAAATCTGATTGAAATTTTTTTTGAACCTTTAAAAATAGCCAATTCGTAATATTGGGTTTTAGAAAATTCTGAAAACATTAATTCAAGTCAAGTGATTTATATTTTATGATATTTTAAAACGTTAAATTTTTAAGTRAGGTTTAATTTGAAAATTAATAATTAAAAAAAAAATATTTAGATTTTAACTAGTAGGTATACCTAATTAAAAATGCTCATAAATAAATGAAAAAATTTACTTCATGACTTATAAAGATATAAATAAATACTTTTAGTGTCTTTTACAGTTAAAACTTGTCTTTCGTCTGCCAGATCTTTCTATCACACCCTGTATATATAAATGTAATATTTTGATTGTAACGGACGATATAACAGACGAGAATCTTATCGYCACGTGCATAATGATCGAGGCCCTGAATGGTTGATAACGACTGGGACATGTGATACGACGCACGTCAGCATACGTGGTTCAACAGAGACGTCAAAAYATTTACTTACAAATCACCGTTGTATATTACGTAGATAGGTTAGGTATGTGTACAATATACTACCTATATAAATAATTGTTATTGCCCATCGGAATTGGACTGTTGTGTGTAGGTAATATTAGATATATTCTATAATATTATAGACTTAAAGTCTTAAATATTATTATGATGTTTATTTACCACWTGTTGTCGTCATTTTTGTCTGACATGGCTATTTGATCTGTTCTCCGAACTTAATATTGCTAATAACACATAATTAAATAATTTTTTTTAAATATTTTTTAGTAATAGTAGTCTATGGATGTTGAAGACAATATTATACTTACAGATGTATAGTTATTTTTATAATTATTGCATGCCATAGAGATTGGTACGCGTATTAACAGTACCACAGTAGGTAAAATAATAAATTAATAACACCCAACAATATTAATATTACTGTGAATGAATTGTGACACAATCTGTGGATTTTGGTTTAGTAATTACTAATTTTATATCAAATCTATAAAATTTAATAATTATATTACTAATAAAAATGTATGCTATGATATAATAATAATTTATATATATTTAATAAGGTATGTATGGAGTACTTATTGGCTATTAAAGAGTTATAAAAACATAATATATAACTGTTATGATGACATTAATACCTATGTATAATATCAAAATATTTTTTTTTTCATTTTTATAATYAATATTGATTTTARKWTTTTTGGTTATAACCTTAAAAACAAAGTAGGTAACGTATTATAAGTATTTATTACTATTTATAGTTCATTAAAAWTTTTTATAGTTTTCAGAATATATTTTAACTGTTGAATACACTCCCTGCTTCATCCTGAATATAAGAATTAATCGACAATATGATGTGATAAAATTGATAAAATAAAAAAAAACAACAAACTTGATTTTTTCCTATGCATTAAAACTCGAAAACTGTCTCGAATTTCAAACGAGTTTGGTTTGATAAATTGTGAACAATTCAAGTCTCTACTATAGAAAAATATCTGTTTCAAATTTGAAAATTAAAGCCTCTTATATTATGTATATTAATTACTTCCAAAGACAAATACATACACAAAATATAAATAGCCATATACACTTGTAATTTTTTTCAAACACTTTCAAATTCAGTACTTTAATCACATATCCTGGAAATAAATTAAATTCTGGGAATGGATAGAGACTAATCTGATTTTTTTTTCCAAAATAAAATATATATTGATGTAGTAAAGTCTGTTGGGCCGCTTTGTCGGAATAATCTAGTTTTATACAATTTAAAGAGCTATTAAGATACTTAGTAAATTGATTTGTTAATAACTATCGAGACCTTAATAATAACAGTAATTATTTGATATTAATAAATAAAAAATTATTTTCATTGAAGTACATAAGAAATAAGAATTTTCAGTAGAATACATTTTTCATAAAATAGTGTTATATTATAATTGTCACACTTTGTCTTGTCTCCTTTTTTATGCAATGGTATGATGATTGCCTCATTCCAGCTATCTGGTACTYGTTCTTCCATCAATATTAGCTGGCACAGTCTGTAGATAACTACACGTAGCTCCTCGCCTCCGTATTTAAGAGTTCTGCTGGAATATCATCGGTACCCGRTGCTTTCCAATTTTTCAGGCCAAATATTGCAATTTTTACTTCTTCTAGACTAACATTCTCTGCATATGGCTCCGCTCTTTCAWATTCGATATGTTTTACAGCTTTTGAACTCCGCGTACAAGGTCTTCTCTAAGATATTACTAAATCGTATTACCCCTTATTCGGAGGATTGCCTAGGTGAATACCAATGCGGCTTCCGGAAAGGCCGTTCAACCACAGAACAATTATACATAATAGGTCAAATAATTGAAAAGAGGTACGAATATCGGCAGAATATGTGGCAACTATTCATAGATTTTAAAAAGGCCTATGATAGTATCAACAGAGAGAATCTCTACAATATTATGTATGAGTTTGGTTTCCCAAAAAAGTTAATAGCACTAAATAAAATGTGTATGGAAGGCACGAAGTACAGAGTAAGAACACAAAATGTAACATCGGGAACCTTTACAGTGGAAACCGGACTAAAACAGGGAGATGCTCTGYCACCAGTACTTTTCAAYCTTSCCCTAGAGAAGGTAATAGGAATACTAYAGGACAATGAAGTTGGTTTATTAATCGGTCAGAATAAGATACGGCTCCTCGGTTTCGCTGACGATTTAGATATAATAGGTCATTCGATTGTAGACACAGCTAAAGTAACCAGAGTGTTAGAAGAAGCAGCGAAGAAAATAAGGCTTGAAATAAATACTGAGAAAACAAAGATAATGGAACTAATTGAAAGTGGGGAGRATCCCAGTGAGACRGAGAATTTAGCCTACGAAAAAGTTAGCGATTTTAAATATCTGGGAGCAACTTTAAGTACAAAGAATGATTGGTTAAAGGAAATAAGTATACCGATAAATAAAGCTCAAAAAACGTTCTACGCATTGACAAAATTCTTTACATCCAAAATTCTATCTAGGAAAACGAAAACAAGACTGTACGTGGCTATTATAAGACCCACTCTCACGTATGGTTGCGAAGCTTGGACAACCACCAAACTAACAGAGAGAAACCTGAGGACTTTTGAGCACAGAGTATGGAGGAAAATATGTGGACTTGTCATCGATGAAACACGGGGAATTGGCGGAGGAGGTACAACAGAGAGCTGTATGATATGTTGGAACTAGCAACCGGTAACAAGCTTTATTAATAGCCAAAGAATACAATGGTTAGGTCACATAGTGAGAAGAAGAGAGAACAAATTAGTCAGAGTAGTATTGGAATCGAAAAAAAAATGGGAAAAGACCTAGAGGTAGGCCTAGGAAAAGATGGATTGACGTGGTAGAAGAAGATTTAAAAACACTTGGAGTTGAAGATTGGAGAGAGTCAGCCCAAGACAGATAGGTGGCGAAGTGTAGTAATGGTGGCAAAAACTCTTAGAGAGTAGGAATGCCAGAAGAAGAAGAAGAAGAAGACAAGTGTTATATTTTGTTTGTGTCCATCCCACTACTCCGGTCATTTGGTAACAAAATATATATAGTGTGACTGAAATGTTTTTGTTTGATCAGCAAAAGTGTTCCCACCACCACTATTGGTCAGCTGGTTGATTATTATTAACAATATTATATTTAGATACATTATAAGTGTATTTWAAAAATAAACCTCATACAATCAATCTTAATAATATTTGTATAGTAAAGTAGTACAGTAGAAATGTAGTACAATTTATAAAATGAATAGCAAAAATATTGATTTAATTGTTAATTTTTGATAGGTTTTTGTAATTTACTATAATCGATTTTTTAATTTTAAGTTTTTACAATATCTACTTAGTTGAATTAATAATTAGTGTTAATTTTCCACTTATACAATGGTATGATAATTATTTATGAATTGTAAAAAAAATGACCAAAATCAGTTAAATTAAATTTGGTTTTATATTTTATATGYTTTTTTTATGTTATTTAAAAGTTTTTTCGTATGTCTAGAGAAACTATTAAGAAAATCGATAACTGATAATCAGACTACAGTTATTAAGAGTTTAAAAGTACTGACTAACTATTAAATAGTACATAATGTGAAWTATATTCTGGATGTTGAATCGAAAGATTGAATCATCAGATACAAAACTCCGTGATAAAATCACGCTCAGAGAGCATGCGTTTTCTACGTAAGCTATTTCTAACTATACAATATATATTCCTGGTTCTATAATTAATTAAACATAAAAACTGTTATCAGTAAATTTTCTATAAATGACGTCTTTAGCCTGTAGGTTATCTTTGTTTATATGATAAACATTTGACATACGCRAGTTTATGTTTATGTTTAAATTTGTACAGCTGTCGTTAGTTTTGAATTTATGACAATATGATGCCTGATTGATAGTTAATTTGTATTTAATCAAAGCGCACTGATCTAAGTTTTGTCATTTGTGTATAATATTTTGATCAAGTTGATTATTGTATACATATTTGGTTTTTTTAAATGCTAATTAAGAATATTATAGGTATTATATCATGAATATCACAATTCACAACATTATAATTGAAGAGGTTATTAAAAGTTTAAAGAGATTAGTATAGTTCACAGCCGTTAATTAATATCTCTCAATCTTTATTTGGCATTAAAAAAAATTGTCACTACGCTTAATACGTATTTTCTAACAACGCTCATTTAGTACATTATATAGAATATAGATATATTTAATATTTATCTAATGCTCAATCTGAGTCCACAACATTGATAATTTTATAAATGTTTCTTCGTTATTTTTAAATATAAATAAAGATTTTTCCTCAAGTACTTTTGAGTTATTTTGTTTTAATTTGACGATTAATATCAATAGTAAATTCGAAATAATCCAGTATAATTTTCTATATACATAACGTAATAAAATTGTAAGGGTCCCTGCAAGAATTAAACAATTCCACTTTTAAAAAATCAAAAAAAATCGGAACTATTTTGTATTAGGTATCAACTAAAGTTTTGTATTCATTACAATATTCTCTTATTTATTTTTACCCATAAATATAAATTTCAGACAGCTCCAAGTATATTGTATTTCCTATAAGTTTTTTTTTTGGATCTGTCACGTACTTTTAAAAACATTATATTTTTAATAAAATTTTGTCTGTTTATCAAATATTATTATTTAAACAAGATTTTTTATGAAAATAGATTTCTCTTGTTTTTACACTATCCTTCGATATTCTAATAATATTTATACTAATTGCAAGGTATCTATTATACTAAGATCTTGTTAATACCATTGTAGGTAGATATTGATAAATTAATTATAAGTTATTTTATAATATATGAATTATTTTTGGCAAAGATTATATGAAGCTAATCCATCCATATTCCATTCATAATCGTATTTTGAAAAACAATGATTATTATGTTATCATTGATTTTARATATTGTGCACATCAATTATAGTGACCTGCTCAACAACGAGGTATATTGAGACCAAATATTGAATAGTAGAGCGAGTTCCCAGCTGGTTTCTACARTTTCATTATTAAAATATCATAAATTATACAATTTTGAACTAATCAACTGCCYATAACGTTCAGTAATATACGTTCAGAACAGTTCAAACTTCAATTTTTACTAAAATGATTAAAAATTACATTTCGGAACAACATAATATTTTGTTGTAAATGTTTAATGGGATTATCAAAGTTACAAAGTGCGTTTGATTAAATAATAGTTATTTGCATCTGCGGCACACGTGTACTGATTGTATACTCTTTACTTAGTTACGATAAATATAAATTTAATCATCTATCCACTACAAACAAGTAGAATCGTTTATACTCTATCTAGTGACAAAACACGCCAATTTTCTTTATCCCCACTCGGYACCATTGCCCATCGATGCTGGTTCCACTGAGGCTGTAGATTATCGCATTGGATAGGCAGAAGAACAGATTTTCGGAGGTCTGTGGTGTGTTTTCTCACTGGAATAAGTATATATTTTTTTCCTACTGACACAAGTTGTTTGTAATTCAATTATAACTTAAAATATCTCTATTTATTTTTTAGATTTTATTAGTTTCAATTTGAACTACTTATGAGAAACATTATTTTCGATTTTCTGACCTCAGTTATAAAAATTATACATTTAATAAATCTTTGAATACAAAATACAAGTTGAAAAATTTAAAAATCCAAGCATTTTTTCGGCTGTCAATCGTGTACACATACACATAAAATACACACATCATTGCAAAATGATTCTATTCATGAACCAAAACAGTACATAATTCATTACGTATGATCTTACACAATTATCATTATTAAGAACACAAATGAAATTAAATACAATAGGAATATAGGTTAACCTATATAGTTATTTATGGTTACAAAAAAAAAAAAAAATTAAATAATTATAATTTCGACTAAAGCTAAAATAAATTCAACTGCGGATTTATGTATTGCATTTAATTTATTAAAAACCATTTAAAATAAAAATTTACAAAAACGGAATCATGGATTTACTTATTATGTRTAAAAAAAGTATTTAGACATAATTCCTTAAAAAAAACTAGGAACAATCTTATTTTACGTATAAAAATCTAATATTTAATATAATTAACGTGTATAAAATATTTAATTTTATATTGTCAAAATATATATCACAAAGCGTGTTACATTTTTATACTAACTCATATTTTAGTATAATATTATYAGAACAATAAAAAATTTATAAATATTTTATAAATACCTAATAATAATAAATTTTACGTATAAAAATGTGTAATAACTATGTATAAAAAATATAAAATTATTGTATAACTATTGCTCAGAATTCTGAATTATTTTAAACTTAAAAAACGTTTAGGATGTCGATTTTACCAAGATTACAAAATTATTTGAAAAATATCACTGGATAATTTAAAAATATTTTTATTATTAAATGTCAGTGAAATCGACTGGATAAGTTCCAAAAACCTAATGCCAAACACAATACTTGAGTAAATTAATTCATTTTAGGTGTCAAAAACGAAACACTACTATTGTTTTACTGTCCAAACGAGTTATGACTTACGGTTAGTTTAATATTTTARTATTAGAAATTCATTTTAAAATCATCGTTTGACAATAGCGTAATAGTGTATACATATAGATAATGTTATAATATATTATGTTTTGTGTATGATTTAGTTAATATTATTATAATTACTATATAATAGATTACGGCAACAACCTCGGGTTGAACCTGCCTAAGTAGATGATCATGCCTGTGGGGTTGTGCCGGACCAGGTAAAGGAACGGTCTATCGAACCTGAGTCTTGGTACGTCCGGTAGCCGTGCCTGTCTGGGCCGTAGATTAAGCGGCAAATGCGAATACGGGCTGTGCAGTGGCAGGTCGTCGACGTTGCGCTTCTGGCGATCACCATCGTGTCTACTGTTGTGTACGCCCTCGTCGCCATTTTTGTGGCCGTCGTCGTTATCGAAATTCTGGCTGCTCTCGTGGCCACCGTCACGTCCKGCACGGCCCATTCGCTGCGGCGAGGCTGGGTACGTTTCTACGTGRTGTCGGGCGCCGATGGTGTCTTCACCACACGTGCTGAACGTGTTCACCTGGAGCATGTCGGATAGGTACAGGTCGTACAGTCCGTTGACGCCACGCAAGTCGGCCTTTTGATCGCTGAACACGTCCCGGAGGCCCATCTTCTGAAGGGCGACCGTAGCGTTGAGCACAGATCGGTGTGAGAACCGCGGCACCTGCAGCTCGAGCCCGGGTCGGGGCAATAGGCTCCGGAGCACCCGAGACCAGCCCCCCCGCCGGTACGATGTCTCTATCAGGCGCTGCTCCAATCGGGCAAGCCCGTCGCCTGGAGCCACCTGGCCTTGTTGTCCTGGCAGCACCAGTATAGTGGACACCGACGAGTCCGGGCCTAAGCATACGGCAGTTGCGTCCAGCCCAGGTTCGTATCCGGCCAGGAACCCACTGCGCCACACTGCTGCTGGCACTGGGACCAGGCGCCGTTGTCTGGTCGATGGCCTCACCACAAAGTACATTTCACCGTCCCGGCCCTCAGTGGACGCACCCTCGCAGCTTGTCTGTAACACGAACAGGGTGCATATGTATATTATTATGAGTATAAAGAATATTTCACACGCATTGCACGTGTTTCAATTCCGATTGCCTGATGAAAAGTTGTGATTATGATTTTGTCGCATAATACAAATCATGGTAACACCTAATGGTTCAATCTACTGGTACTTTATAAGGAAAATATATGAAATAGTTGCAATTACGAGTAAATCTGCATTCTGCAGCCATAGGACCGATTCTAGAATAGAGTTTTTACATAATACGCTATGCATATTGCATATTTTGCAACACTCGTAAACTAATTTTAAACTGTGTAATTTTTAGATATTTATTATTTATTTAGGTAGTGATATTTTAAAATAATTATGATTATCTACAATTTAAAAATTTAAATATTATATGTATTAGAAATTACATTATTATTGTTATCAAACGAATTCATATCCATATACGTATTATTATCATCATACTAACACTAACGCATAAAAGAGCAACGTTCAGAATAATCCATTTTATTATTTTTAATATTATCTAGTGCTACACGTAGGTTTTCAATATGATCATAACTTGCTTCAAAATTGAAACATTAAATACAGCCTATTTTTGTGCCTAGATAATATTTTTACCTTTAAATGTATAATAGATAAATTTAAAAGCGGAGTAATGATCAACAATAACACTACCTATATGCTTATACTTTTATAAGATAAAATTTATTGTTTWTTATGTCTACCAATGTCTTATTAAGAATTAAATTATCTTTATTTTGTTAYATTATACTAAATAAACCTTTACAAATAATCACCTAAATTTTAAAATTTAGCCCATGTGCAATATTTAGTTATTTTTATATTTTATCGGTATTTACTTAAAGCCCAGAAATTTTTAATACACTCTGGTCACCAAAAGTTCTTAGAATAGAGGCCTTATTTAGCCGTTTCCTGTCAAATAACAAATATACAGGACCTCAATTCYACTTTTTACCATGAATAATTACGTATTTTGTTAAAATAAATTTACATCAAATTYGGTTTAATCCTGGTAAGAATATTAAAAACATGTGTTTGATGATTATTTTATGAGTTATTGTATCAACTATGAATTACGCGTACATATTATTAATTAAAAAATATTTTACCTGGAATACATTAGCACTGAATGCCGCGAATGGTGGTGTCAAACTTAAACCAGAACCACGAAGATATTCTACAACACGACCCAGAGTTTGTCTTTTGACTAATAAATTCGTTCGTCTTCTTAAAACGTCTCCGATTGTATTGAAATCTACTTCTTCTACATGTCCATCATAATACTGTTGTACTCGTTCTTTATAGAATTCTAGTATTTTTCCATTTCCCTAAAAATAAAAAGACAAATGTGAACAACGACATTATGTTTTTGCGACCACGCTTAATTTATTTCAGAGGTAATAATACAGTAGCTTATACTAAGCCTAAGCGTGGTGGTGAACATCAAAAAATAAAATAAATGTTAAAAGATGTTTCTTGTGATAATAACTATTACCTTGTGGCTGTAAATCTCTCGAACAAAAGACGCGGTGGCCACACCTGGATTGTTGACGTTTGTTATTGAGTGCGTTATGTTCCTTAGCACTTGATGTGGATTGAACGTAACCATGTCATCAAGCCTTAGCACGTCGTTCATCTGACCAGAAGTGGAACCACGGGCACCTAGGAATACCATAGCCAGCATAGCAGTCAGCTCAAAGGGAGACAGGACTAGGCTTCTGGAGGATATTTGACCTTTTCCGGTAACGGCTGTCCACATCTTAAACGACAGCTCGTTACAAAGGTCCGCAAATCGGCGTACATCATCACCCAAGAACGCTACACTCGCTTCCATTCCCATGCTCTCGTGTGGTGCAGGATGTAATTCGACTGTTGATGGAGACGCACTGTTGGTCATTTGTGGTCTATAAACGTTGGAMGATGGTCCAGGCGATTTTACTACAGGTGGCAGGCTGGCTGTGATTGGCGTAGCCCAAGTGGTGTAGTTTGTCGCTGACGTGGCCACCGTAGGGTTTTCAGATGGAGTCACCGAGTTTTGGACTTCAGATTCTGGTGTCGTAGATATTACTGTAGATGATGCTGTTGCTTCTGATGATACTATTGCTGCTTTCACTGATGGTGTTAGTGATGGAAGTATTGTCGTAGTTGTCGACGTTGACGACATGGTTTCGGTTGACACTGTTACCTCCTTCGTAACCGGAGCAAGATAAGGGGTGAAAGTTGTGGTTACTRATTCTTCGTTACCGATCGTTGGATTGGTAGTAGATCCACGGTTTTCAAATGGTGTGGTAGTGTCAAAAAATACTTGCGTTTCGGATGACAAATCGTCCAGTTTGGCCACCTGGACGGGACCTCCAGTGGAGCTAACATTAAACACAGTTAACATTTCCAAGCCCAGTTCTGAATTTCGAAGCACCTCTTCTGTTTCGTTGGTGGTAACCGATTCTGCTGCGATCGTGTCATTCGGCTCTAAGAACTTAGAGACCAATTCAGCTGAGTTCGTAGTGAAGTCGTAGAAGTCTTGCGTGGACACGGCAAATGTGGTTGTCTCTTCAAAGTCAGACTTCACCGTCGCTTGTTTTTGGTTGGCTTGTTCAGTGGATGATTGTTTTCCCTCAGCTAAAGTCAATTTCTCGTAGGGGCGATCACCAATATCCTGGTATTYCGTTTCAAGAACCGCTGCCACTGCCGGCTTTTGTGTGTTTTGCAACATGCTAGCTACAGCGTTTATACCGTCTTTGAGCATCAGATCTACGCCCGGCGAACTGTTGTTGTTTTCGGTTTCTGGCCTATCTTTCAGTTGTAATTCCGGAAGAAAATGTGTGACTGGAATGTATTGAGTTTCCGATTCTGGTGTTGTAAATGTGACTCCAGTTGCATTAGCTGCCGTGGTTCTAGCCACCGTACTGGACAATATTGAACCTACTACAGCATTGGCTGCTGTCTGTGTAATTGGAGCGTCACTTGTTATCTGAGCAGCCATCGTACTTAGATTCGTCGTATTCGCTTCACTCACAGAAGCCGATGTCGTCGTCATTACAATTACACCTTTATCTGCAGCTTCCATAGCAGTTTTTACTGCTTCCATTCCTGTTGCTGTTGAGGTTTCCAATGTCGTAATTGCCGCGGTTTCTGTGGTGGTTGATGCTGTTATTGTAGTTGGTATTATTGTCGGTTTTGTTGTTGTTGTTGTAGTTGTTGTTGTTGTTGTTGTTGTTGTTGTCATTAAATCTCCAACTGACGAAGAGATGATGGACACCGGAATTCCAGTTATATTATTTTCCGCCGACGGTGTTGTAGACGATATGAAGGGCGTGAGTTTTTGTTGAGCGCTAACAGAAACTGGAGATGCAGTACTGGTGGTTGAGACGCTGGAAGCTGTTGACGATTTAGTCATAAAAGACGATATTAAATCTCTTATGACGTTAGCGTCCGTAACAGAGTTCAGTTGCTGACTGTTGCTGGAAAAGAATGATTTTTCGGTACTCATATATGGTGTAGTTGAAGGGTATGCAGTTGGATGTTGAGCGGTCATTGGCCATTCTTCTACTTTAACTGACACATATTTATCGGGTTCTGTTTGACTACGAACCGTTGTTGTAGACGAACCAAATCCGAAATTTGGAATAGCCGTAGTTTTCAACTCTTGTATGCGATTAGACAGAGTGACATTCGTCCGATTAATACCGTTTGGTCGATTTGAAGTGACTTTAGTCTGGAAAACCTTAACTGGSTCTTTTACTAGTTTATTATTCGTCTCCTCTGTGGAATTCCAAAATGTATCTGTTGGTTGTTTCACGCTAAGAGTTGCATTATTTATCGTTTTGTTAACAACTTTTACGAAACTGTCAATTAATTTATTTGGGTAAGCTTGAGTGGTTTGTGTAATTTTTTGCATGTATTTAGTTGACATGTTACTTGGTGGGTATTGATAGTTATTTCTAGTGGTAGAAACAGTAGTTGAATTAAATTTATTGATTGATGATGGCTTTGTCATATAAGAAGCTGTAGTAGCATTCATATATGGTCGAGGCTTAGTCGCATTAGACTTGGGYGGTGTAAATCTTGTTGCTGTAATAGTAGGGTTAGTCTTTTGTGAAAATGGCATATTTGTAGTTGTAGTTTTATACGCCATTGTAATTGGAGGTTTTCGAGCTGATGTCAAAGCTTCTGTAACTGGTCTCAAAGCTCCACCGGTGCTTAATGACATTGCTATTGGACTGTAATAGCTTAATTCTGGCGAACTCTCTTCTGGTACATAATCTGCAGTACTATCTTTCTCTACTAAATTATTAGTCTGTAAAGGTTTGTGGTTGGACGATTGACTGTCAGTCACTTGTGACAGCATATCTGATATAGACGCTGACATTTCTTTATTTATTTCAAGACTATCAGACATAATAGATGGTTTAACAGTTGAATTCAAAATTAAACTTGGTTTTTGTAAGGCTGGCTTTTGTTTCTCAAATGACTGTATTGGCCTAAAAGGTTTCTTAGTTGTAGATGGTTTAAATGTTGTCCACTGTGTTATTGGCTGTGTTGTTGGCTGTGTTGTTGACTGTATAATTGGCTGTGTGGATTGTGTTGGAGTGAATTTTGATGTTACTTCAGGCTTGACAGTGGTGTATTTTGGTGTTGACCTCACTTTTTCTGTTGTAGTGGCTACTTGCGTCTTTATAGATGACTGTGGCAATTTAAGTGTCGTTGATTGAGGTTTCATTGATACAAATGGTGTTTTAGTAGGTGACAATGGTTTTTTAGTCAATGGAATATCCATTGACTCGGTTGTTTTCGATGGGAGCAAATATCCGGAAAGATGAGCTACGTCATCTGGAGTTTCAATTAATCCTGGGAATAAGGCTGACCACGCAGACGCTGAATCTGGGCGATGTAAAGATGTGCTTGACATAGAAGAAGGAATAGGTTTACCTGAGTTGGCAGCCATTTCATTTTTCAATACATTTTGTACACTTTCTAGAACCTTATGAACTGCTGGTGCATCTAATGATTCAAGATCTGAAGCAGGCAAGTGCATAAGTGCTTCTGATGAATGACTTGATAAAGCGTCATGATAATATGTAGGGGAAGCATCAGACATCACTGATTCTGGATCTGCTCCAGCAATTAAACCATGTATTTCATCCAATGTCATTAGTCGTTTAACTAAATCTCCCGTTTCGTCAAATGTATAAAACTCATAACGGTCCGGTGATAGTAAATTACCAGGACTACCGATTATGGTATCTGTAGGTTTGTGTATGTTTTTACTTTGTCCATCGGAAAAATATGTTTTGGTTCCATTACCATGATCCATTATTACAGATACTGATGTTACCACACTAAATTAAATTAAAAAATCATTAATTACTATTACACAATTCCAAATGTTTATTTAACATACCTTGAACCAAGGACTCTTCTTGAGTCTTCGGAAGCTGTTTCTGATTGAGACGTAGCCCTGGAAGGAACACATTGCGCTACAGAGATCAAACACAGGGTCACCAGCCACCGGGTATCGATACCCGCCATGTCTGAATCTTACATTAGTTTTGAAAACCTAAACGAAAATAAAGTTTATTTAGTAGTGTGTTAAAAATATTAATGCCAAATTATTTGAAAAACCATGCATGGTAATTTAATGTTTCAAAGTAAAATAATATAAGAAAAATATTTTCTGAAATATTTTCTAAGATCTAAAATTTTAACTGTAAAAACAAACTAGTACGAATTATCGCTAAATCGTATGCTATTCACTGTTTTGGATAGGTTGCATGAACCAGAGCGTAAAAACGACTGTGAATATAAATTTTTTATACCTAATACGTTGACAATTTAGACATTAAAAAACATTTTTTTAAATCTTATAAGTAGGTAATAGTGTTTATACTAGTATAAACTAGATTCAAAATTGTAAACCATAAATAGTGTGCGTATATTTATGTATGAATAAGTTTATTTATTTTTCACTTTTTACGTTACCAAAATGAATTATTTAAAATATTTATTTAGTATTTTTAAAGATCTAGGATTACAATCGRTATGATTTGTATATGTAATAGAGATTGGAAAAAACAAAAGTAATACTCTTTAATTTGCGGTTAGATTTTTTCAATAAGTACCCTATATTAGCCATTTTGTAGGTACTGAGTAGGTATTCTTAAATTATATATATATTAGTGATTTTATTCTGTCAAAGGCATAATCTGCAGTGCTGCCAAAGAAAAATAATTTACTGCAATTTTTACATTTTTGTATCATGAATGTTTGACGACGACAACGATCAGTCAACGACTTGTGTCGTTTCTTATTTYCAAGAAGATAATATGTATAATATATTATTATTTTCATGACATATCGTCCTTGTGCCAATGTTAAAGCGAGACGAACGTTGGCTCGTTTTCGGAGGACATATAACAACAAATATAATAATAATAATAGTGTATATTCCTATCGTTTTAAGAACTTTTCAACATTTTTTTCAATTTTTACTGTGTGAAATATTTACCCATCGCAATTATCCTTAAATAACACCAAAATCTGTCGAATTGCATAGGAAATTTTCACCTCGAACTGGGTTAATATGTTATTGTAACTTTTAGACCTTTACCAAATTCATATCAATACATTCCATGGAAATCATTGAAATAATATAATAAATACCAAGTGGTGAAGAAAAAAAACAAAAAAATGTATAAAAATATAATACGTGACGAATCAAAAAGTACATTTTCCATAGTAATTTTAATTCATTTTCGAATTTATTTCTGTGAAGGTTTTCTTCGTATACAATATAGTGGCTTCTAAATAACAGCAAGTGTCTAATTCTGTTTAAATTCGAATCGATTGACGCAAATATATGCGTGTACTCGTGCGATTAAAACATTCAATAGAATATTATATTGCTCAATTGGCTTACAAAAATAAAAAATAAAATTTGATTCGTGCTCGATTCAATTATATTAACATGTAGATAATTCGCGTAGGCCTACGATATTACAACTATTTTCCATTTAATTTACACGAATCGATATTTATGTCGTGTTTACTGATTTTTTGTCAACTACACACACGGTCAAAATAACTATTAGATATTTATAAAAAAAAAAAAACTGTAACAATCGATTATTCATATAAAGGAAATTAGGTAATAAGTAAAATGTAACCACAAATCAATACAAAACGTGTTACAAGAAAAAAAAAAGTAATAATAAATCAAATCAGTCAAATTATCAATACATTTTTAAATTTCTACAACGTTTTATATTTAAATAATCGTATTGTAACTTTTAAGACTAAAATATTCTTTTCTAGTATATTTTATAAATTTAACTATTTAGTTAAACAATAATATATATGTATGTATATTCATTTATTTTTATTTAATTAATATTAATTTAAAATGTATAATTAACTAATCAAKTTGCATCAAAATGTATAAAACAGCATTAATATATACATTTCACAGAATTCATAAATTAGAAATGTAATGAAAATTGAGAAAATTATAAAAATATATCCAACAATTATTTAATTTACGAATACATAAAACGTAAAAATGTAATAAACAAATAATAAAATCTTGTATAGTTAATTTCATATTTGACAATATTATTCACCATATTTTAAATACGAGTATAAAGATTTGATTTTATGGGTCATTGATCTCAAGATAAGTTGTTGAAAAGACAAACATTTCAAATACGCTCCTGCAAAAAGTAAACATTCGACGAAAAGTAACGTTAAGTTCATATTGCAGCTATCTCTGTAAATACGTCCTTGTCTAACAGAAAATCGTTATCAAAGTTAAAAAATTAAAATTAAAAAACTTATATTTAATTATTGGAGATGGTTGTTCGATTGTTTCGATTAATCGACTGTAGCATCGATTAATTGATTAATCGATTATTATTTTTAAAAGTATTCAACACCGATTAATCGCATTATCGATTAATCGATACATCGTAAATTCTTAACATATTAGTATATTACCTACCATGGTTATAACGAAACGATCGTTGCGCTGCCGCGTTTAATACAATACATTGTTCTGTGATACAAGCGCTATGAGTTTTACTATTTAGTTTTAATCTTTAAAATTTTAAATCATTTCCTATAATAATAGCATTAGTAATAACACTAATAACTACAAATTAGAGCTCTTTCGTCAAAATTGTTAACTTATCTACACAAGAATACAAGATTCCAATTCAGTTTTTGGCACCACTTTAGGTCTTAAAATTTATGTCACTACAAGGTACAGATTCTTAGTTATATCATATTCTTAGCTCCCAATTTAAATTTCTGTGGGCCTGCGGCCTGCCCCTGCCTATAGGTACCAATGTGGTTGTTATTAAATATACCTAACTTTTTGAATGGACTTAATTGTGCAATTGTAATATTAAATATATTTACGATAGACTGATATACTATACCTACATACCTACTTAGTGTTGTTATTTTATAAATAACGAAAAAATTATAAAAATAAATATTTGAAAAATTATTATTATATGTAATTACAGCTACGATAGTAACATTTTGTTCTGTTTTTATCTAATTTAAGTGCATAATAAAACACTTAACTAACCTTAAATAATAATCAGATTCTTGGTTATTCACGTTTTTTTTGTTGGCGTTTTTGAAATATTGTAAATGTTGTAAAGTTATATTTACCTATATCTTTATCTTTATATCTGTAGAAAATACTATAGTATACTTATTACGGATGGGTATGCGGGTATACCCACCCGTAATTAAGAGTTTATACAGGTTTTGCCTAAATATACTGTAGAATCTGCGATAAAAACGCCTGTATGGTTTCATTAATCAGGGCAATATAAAAAATGCATACAACACTTAGAATCTCTTAATTTCATTGGACCTATTATGAATTTAAATATACTAACACGTATAAAACCGCAGATTTYGTTCATCTCTGAACGGTAAATTAATTTCTGTATTAAAAAAAAACATAAGCTTGATGTGATTTTCAACAGCATTTGTTAAGTAAAAGTTTAGAAAGACTGTTGGAAGACTAGTTGTACAAAAAATGTGAAAAAATGTTGTGTGAATACAGTCAAATACATCTACAAAACACGATCAAGAAAATAGGTACTAGTCAAAATTACTTCGGAATAATAAGTTCCAATCATAAATATTATTTCGGTTGTAACCAATATAATATGAAGCTTACATAAAAATCAATTTGAAATAATAAAACACAAACATGAATACTGTTCAAATGAAATATTACCAGATTGTGAATAACAAGAAATGTTCTGGAAATTATTWTTTTTTTTTTTGCATAAGATTAAAATTTAACTATAAATAGATTATGATATTGTACAACTTAGTTTTGTTGTTTTTGACTAAATTATTATTCAACGACTAGTTTAGTTAAAATTTAAAATCAAACGTTGTTGTTATAGACATAAGCATAACAATAGCAACTATGTAAAGGTGGCAATTTTTCATGTTAATTAACGAATCTACATACATAATCAAACTTTATGAGACTAAATAAATATCATCCGAATGAGAATATAATATAGAACGCATCGTGATGCACATATTTTTTGTTAGCAAAGAACAAAGAACCAAACATATAGTCATCAACTATCCCTAATAACTAAAGCACGTAAAATCTTCAACAATTTATTTTCACTAAAACAAGCATTCAATGAAAAAAACTGGAAAAAACATATACAGTAATACATAAAATAAACTTTTGACAAAATCTGTAAAACTACAAATTAGTAGGTGGTACCTATATTGGCTATATTAAGCTTTAATGAAAACTYGACTGATAAGCTTCGTTGTTTAAGTATTAACCTTAAACAATAACAATTTTTACTAAAATTATTATTGTGATAAATTCCTATTCTCTATAGCGTAAATTTGCTTTTATTTTTAATATTATAAAATCAATTTTTCGTTGTTTAATTAGGTTTGTTTTTTTTTTTTATTCATTTTTGTAGATGTTACCACTATTTAAAGTTGTAGTATATGTAATTGAATAAATTTAAAAAAATTACTTTTGTATTTTCAATTATTTTTAAAACAATGCAGTATAGACTTACACTATTTTATGATTTATATTTGCATTGAGGGTTCCGATCTCGGCAGAATTACTTCTAAACTATGCACATAGCAATAAAACTTCTCTAAACAATACAAGAGATTCTTAAAATTAAAAAATGCTACTTTATATGCATTAATACTTTTTATTACGAAAATATGAATGTAGGAAGAAAATTTCGTTCACCTTGTTTAAAAATTGAGTTATCTATCAAACTATATTTTGATCATATTCAATAAGATTTATAATAAAGACCAGTAGCACTAGTAGCAGTATTAACGGCTGCCATAATGTTACCATAATTTGGTGATGACGATTTCTATAAGACCAATTAGTTGGAAATCGTTTGACGAGTGTGTCCGAAAACGAAGGATAGGTAGCCACTGCGATTTTGAACAAACATATTAAACCAGCTAAAATGCATCACAAAAAAATATAAATAATTCGTGGATTATTTAAAAGGGACGCACTAAATATCA